GGGAAGCGCGGAGGCCACGCTACCTGCCCCTGGAGGCAGCTGGGCCAGGTGAGTCTCGGCCGGCTGGGCGCCCTCCTCGCCCCACACGTTCACACCCCGCCATGGTATCTGCTGGCTCTGGGCTGGGCGGAGTGCACCTGGGTGAACTCTAAGGCTCCTCTCAGCCCCGCCCACTGGCAGAGCCCCCCCCCCCCCGCTTGCGCGTGATGAGCCTGGAAGCACTGGCCCCCCAGGCAGCGGCACAGGAGGCGGGTGGCGCACTAGGGTCCTTCCCGGCTGTCTCCACTTTACGTAGGGGAAGCTGAGTCTCGGGTCAGGGCTGGAGCTTAAGCCTGCTGGGCGTGCACACGCGCACACAGTGCTCGGGCTGATGGGGGTGCGGCTGGCGTGGGGTCTGGAGAGCAGGGATGCATGGACGCAGCTGTGCCCAGGGCCCAGGAACCTGCCCAGGATACCCCCGGACCCCTTCAGTGCTGCCGTCTGTGACCCCTGGGGCCAGGGAGGGTCCTCCCAGGCTACCGAGGACGGCGCCCCTACCCTCCTGCCCCCCCGCTTGTGGCCAGGGCCCTGATGGAGGCCGCAGGGTGGAGGCAGGGGTCCGCCCAGCGCCTCCCAGCGCGGCTCCCTTGTGCAGGGTCTGCTCTGCCAGCCAGTCCTGGCGGGGGGCTGAGGCCCGCTGGGCGCTCCGGGAGCTGCTCTAAGCTCCTGCCCCCAGCCTTGCCGCAGCCCCGAGGCACACGCTGTCCCCAGGGCACAGGGGAGCGGATTGAGCGGTCGAGTCGAGGAACCAGGACCGGGCACAGCCAGTCTTAAGCCACCCCCTCAGCGTCCGCCGCCCCCATGACTGCTCTGTCCGGGGAGGGGTCTTACTGGAGGGGGTCTGGCCACTCCCCGCTGCGTGGCCAGCTGGGCTGGGGGTCCGGGCGCGTTGTCTCTCTCTGGGGGGCGGTGGCTGCTATGTGGCTCTGCACGGACTACAGTTCCCGCAGTGGTGAGAAGGCAGGGGCGAGCCGCCGTTACTGTGCCACGCCCCCAGCCCTGCACAGGGGCTGCCAGTATGTGAGCCCACCTGCACACCGCGAAGCCCTTCTCTGGGGACCACGAGGCCCCGGGGAGTCCCAGTGACGCCCAGGCCCCCCTGGGGGGGGGTCTCTGCAAGGCTGCTTGCGCAGCCAGGCAGCACGGGGCCTGCTGGTGCCCGGCCACGCTGTCGAGGGGTGGGACTGCACCCTGCGACCTGCCACAGGCGTCCCTCCCAGGGAGCTGGGCCCCCTGAGGCTCCGGGAGTGACTGCCTGGTGCCCCTCCCCGGCCCGCCCCGCCCCCAGGGTGCACAGGCCCCGGGCTGGAGCCAGCCTAGGACAGTGAGGATGGATGTTCCGTCAGACCGGGAACTGAGGCTAGCAGGGTCCTGCTGGGCCGTGGCTGGCTCGGGGCCCTGGGCGGGTCACACCCCCCGTGTCTCCACGGCAGGGGGAGATTCAGCCACAACTGCAGTGTGCATGGGATGACGGAGGTGACAAAGGGGACCACCTTGATGTGGGCACCTGCTGTGTGCCCCCTGCCTCCTGGCCTGGACAAGTCTGTGTCCCCAGAAGGCTCCCCCCGGGTGGGTGAGGGTCCTCGGGGGGAAGCGGGGTAGACCCCTGGCTCCTGGTAGCCTTGGTGTGAGTCCCGCCGTCACCATGGCCCCCTCCCGGGGGAGCCCCTGGGGTCAGCACCGGCACTGTCCCATCTGGCCGAGTGGCCCCGGGGGAGCCGCCCTTGCTCCTCTCAGTGTCCAGCGAGCAAGCCCCCTGTGGCCGGTCTCTGGAAGCTGCAGCTGTCACAGACTTGGGGCTGAAGCTCACTCTTACTACGGTGTGAATGACTGTAGGCACAGGGCCAGGTTGTGGCCCGCGCGGGGCTGTGACAGCGTCCCGGGCTGCAGTGGGATCTCCTCCCCCTCTGTCAGCAGGGCTGGGCAGGTGTGGGCGGGGCCTCCCCAGTGGACGGCCCGAGGCCCCTCTGGAGGGGCAACTGCTTCCCATCTTCCCGACGGTTGCCACGTGGGATGTGGGCTCGAGTTGCCAGAGCTTCCAAAATTCTCAGTGGGAGCCAAAAATACGGATTTTAACATGTAAACTCTCCCAGCTTTTGAATGTTGGTTCAAATGTTTAAAAAAAAAAAAAAAGAAAGAAACCTTGCGCAGGCCAAACCCGACAGGCTGGCGGCCAGATATAGCTCGGGGGGCCAGTTCTCAGCCGCAGCCCGGGCACAGCGCCGCGCGGGACGCGGACCCGGCCGCCTGCAGCGGGGTGCCAGGGCCTCGGGATCCCAGGGTGGGGTTCTCGACCCCATCTGGAGACAGCCCCAAGCCAGGGCCTGGGTGGCGCTGGGATTCCAGCCAAGGTCCTGGTGGGAGCCGTGGTACGTGCCCTGCGCCACTGGCAGTGGCCCCGGTGACTTCACTGTCCTGCAAACCCCCAGGGCACCTGCACCGCGCCAGCTCCCTGCCCACCACCCTCTTGCTCCTTGTCTCGGTCCCCATGGCCGGCCCCACGCCTCTCCCTCCACCCTGACCTTGGCAGAGCCCTCGGCTCCATCCCACAGTCACTCCCTTGGCCGTGGCGCCCGGGGTGATCTCTGATCTGACTGCTCCCAGATCCGCTAACCCTCAGGACCTGCGCTCGGCTGCTTTTACCCCCACCCCAGCCTAAACCCTCGGCGCCATCTGCGATGATCCTGTGCCCTTCGCACCCCTCACCCCCACCTGAGCCGAGCCCCTCTGCCACCTCCACCTGGTCCCCATGGGTCTCCCTCACCCTGCACTTGACCCGGGGCCCCTCCTCCAGGCAGCCCTCTGGGACCCATCCTTGTCAGGGTGGAAGCAGGACAGACACCCCCCCCAGGCCCCAGCCCCCAGGTCTGTCCCTCCACTCCCCCCACTCCCCTGGCCCCAGGCATGGTTCACATTGACCCACTGGTGACAACTGCAGGGTTAGCCCCACCTGACCTAGCCTGGGGACACAGGGGTGGGAGGAGGTGGGTTACCCAGCTGTGTCTCGGATCCGTTCCCTGGGTTGGAGTGGCAGCCCCCACTCACATCTGGTCTGCTTACTACAAGGCTCCCCATGCACTAAATGTTTGTTGAGCGAATGCAAGACGGAGCGATGTCAACTTGATATAAAGAGAGTCTGCCCGGACGGAAAGGCTGGTTCTCTGGAACCTGCCCCGTGACCGTCCCCTGTGCACCGCAGCCGCCACTCACAGCTTGTGAGGTTGTCCCTACCCTTCCAGGAGGTCCTCAGAGAGGTCGAGAGCCTTGCCTGAGGCCACACAGCTGCCTCGGAGGCCCAGACGGCCAGGCAGGCCCAGCCTTCCCTGGGCAGAGCTCGAGGTGCAGAGCCGGGTGCCCAGGGGATGCTGGGTGAGGCAGGGACCAGGCTGGTGTGCGGGTGCTCAGGGCTGGGAGAGCAGGACAGACTCCCAGCTGGGGCGCAGGAGCAGGTCCTCAGACAGCCTCGCTCCAGACCCTGGGCACCTGGCGATGGTGACTGGCGTGAGGCCCTGCCCACGGAGGGTGGCTTATCCCTGATGGGAGCCAGGCCAAGATCTGGGGCAAAGCCTTAACCGGAAGGCGGGGCGGGGGGCGGCTGTAGTGGTCAGTGTGGGCTGTGTGGCTGGGCCGTGGAGGGCCAGGTCCTTCATGGAAGACTGAGTGGAGGCACAGAGTCCCCTCCGGGGAGCACCCACGGGCCAGTCGCCGTGCCCAGGGGCTGCAGGAAGGATGGCAGCCGTGGGCAGCTGGCAAGAGCCCGACCCCAAGTCCCGCGCTGCGTGGTCACCTGTGGGTTGGCCTCCTGGGGCCTCTGCCTTGCGTCTGCAGAACGGAGCTGTGAGGACTGAGTGAGTGGATTTCCTTAGCTGCACCAGAGGCAGAGTGGGCTACTGGGTAGGTGCCTCAGCCCCAGGTGGCCCCGGGCTCTGAATCTCAGTGAATACGGAAGGAAGTAGGGGGCAGGAGGAAGGTGGGGGGGCCGGGCCCTCAGCAAGGCGGGGGCTCCGAGGCCTGGTGCAGTCGGGTCGGCCCACAGGCAGGGCTGCGTGCAGCTGCTGGGAAGAGGTGGCCGCGGTGCTGGAGCCGGGGCTGGGGCTGGGGTGGGGGGGCCGGGAGGGGAGGGCAGTGGGCAGATCACAGCTGAGCTGCGGGGCAGGTGGGCCGCGAGTGTGGCCTGGGATGTCCCGGTATCTGAGACACAGCCCCACTCGGCTTCCCCCGGGGTCACAGGGGCACTTAGGGTCCCACTGCCCTGGGGAGCTCCCAGACCCCCTTAGCCGTGGGAACAGCTGGGTGCCCACAGACCCCTCATGCTCACGCTCCCAACAGCTCCTCTCTCCGCCCCTGGCTGGAGACCTTGGCCTGGCCAAACCTGGGGGACCCCAGGCAGGCCGAGTGCCAGGCGAGGGCAGCGTCAGGGCAGACGATGGAGGGCCAAGGGCGCAGCCCCTCCTGGCAGCGCCAGGCCACGCACCCGTGACCCACGTGTTGGGCTGGTTCCAGGACACAGACCTGGGACAGATACAGCCCCTGTGTGGGGGGGGGGGGGAGGGGATTGACCCAGTGACTGCCAGGTCTCCACGGGGAGCTGTGGGGGAAGGAGGGAGGCGGCCTTTAGGAACCAGGGTGATGGCCACTGGGCAGGCTCTGGGTTCCAGGAGAACCTGGGGCCCTAACAGGAGGGGATTCGGGTTTCAGGATATGGAGTGGCAGGGCTGCCACCCTGCCTGTCTCCCGCCAGGTCCAGCCCCCACCCCTGCAGCCGGAGGCAGCTCCTCTACCTCCCCCAGAGCCCTGGGTGTGCAGATGGGGGTGGGGGATTCCCAGATGAGCCTCTAAAAGGGCCGAAATGCTCAACGTAAATAATTAATGCTAGATTTTTAAAATTAAATTTTAATCCATTCTGATTAATTTTAGACAAACTCCCTGGCAGGACATTCGCTGGGAGTGACTGAGGCACCCAGAGGCCTCCTGGGGGGTCCCCAAACCCTGGGTGGGAAATGGCCGTCAGGAGTGGGCTTTGCCCCTCCCCCACCTGCTCCAGCTGAGCTGGGGGAGCCAGGCTTGGCAGCCCGACGTCACCCGCAGAGCTGCCCCCGGGCGATGGGAAGAGCGAGCAGGAGGGGTTCCCAGGGCTGGGGCAGGGGGCTTCTCCACCATCGCCCCGTAGAGAGGGCTCCTCCCCGGAGGAAGACCTGAGCACTCGGACTTGGGGTTGGATTCACCCTGGGGCAGGTCTGACCCTCCGGAGTGGCCGGCTCCGCCCACCCTGCGCGGGCTCAGCTAAGGCCAAGCCTGCGGGGTGCCGGGGGTGTCCTGCTGAGAGCACGGGGTTTCTGTCCGGGAGCCCACAAGGCCGGAGAGCACACCGCTCTGGCGCGGTCGGAGCCTGGCAGGCACTGCCTGCGCTTATTGAGCGCCTGCTGTATGCGGGGATCTGGGGTGATGCGCGCCGTGATGGGGACCGGAAAAGGTGGGCCGGGGGGCTCGCGCGCGCGGGGGTCGTGAGGGCCGGCGGAAAACTTCCCGGCGCGCCTTTGCCTTGGGGGTTGGGGGATCCCGACAACTTTTAGGGCGCCAGGGAGGGGAGCCGCCGGGAGCCGTTCCCTGGGAATTCCTGCGGACCCCTGCCCCGCCGCAGCCCGCGCCTCGTCCGCCCTCCGCCCCTCTCCCCTCCACCCAGCTTCCGGGCGAGGAAACTGAGGCCGGGGGAGGCCTCTCCGAGCGCTCAGGAAGTTGGAGGCCGAGCCGGTCCGAGGCCCCGGGGCCGGGCTGCGCCCTCGCCCGGCGGGGCGGTGGGGGAGGCGGCGTGGGGCCCGGACCGAGCGGAGCGCGCTCCCGGCGGACGCGGCGGCGGCGCCCGGCGCGAGGGGCCGGGATGGGCAGTCACCAGTCTTCCCAGGTCTGTCGCGCGGCCCCCGGGCTCGGACCCCCGCCCCCCGCGCGGAAAGACGGGGCCCAGCCCCCGGGAGCGGCCTCTCGCGGGCGGCGGGGAGCCTGCCCCGCGCCCCCCGCTGCACGCAGGAAGTGCGATCCCGCCAGGGCCGCCCGCGGTGCCCGCCGCGCTCCGGCGCCCACAGGGTTAACAGCGGCGGGTGGGTTCCCTCCCCCCGCCCGGCGCGCGGAGGGGCTGCGGGGCGGCGCGGGGCTGGGCGGGGAGGGTCTCCCAGCCGCGCGCGGGCGGCTCTGCGCAAGCCCGGCAGGGAGCCCCGCCGGCAAAGCCGGGCGCGCAGGGGTTAACCCCGCAGGCCCGGAACCCCCGAATCCGAGGGCAGCGGGGTCCCCGCCTGAGAAGCCCGGGGTTCTGAACGCCCTCGCACTCGGGTCGTGTGAGTGTCCGCTCCCGCGGTCCCGTGCGACCCCAAACACTCTCCGACTCGCGGATTCTGCGATTCCGGGTCTCGGCTTCCTCCCGGAGGGAGCGCGGGGCGGGAAGGGTTAACGGGTGGGGCGGGGAGCGGCGGGGGCCGCGAACGCCCGAGAGTTCACGCGGTCGGGCCGGGCCCCCTCCTGTGGGCGAGGCCGGGGCGTCCCGCATCCCCGGGCCGGCCCCCTCCTCGCCCCGGGGGGCGTAACTCGGAGCCGGGGCGCGCGGCGGCCCGGGCGGGCTCACCTGTTACTCGGCCGCGGCCCGGAGCGCCCCCCGAGTCACGGGGCCCGTGGCCGGGGCGCGGGAGCGGGGGGCGCGCGGGGCCGGAATTCCCACGGACGGAGGCGCACGGGGTGCCCCGCGGTGCCCGGCTCCGCCCGGCGCGGCCGCCGGGCGCACGCCTCCTGCCCGCTGACCGGCTCCTTTGCTTTCTCGCAGGCCTCTGCCGCAGACATGGAGAAACTCAGGTGAGTGGGGCGACTTCCGCGCCGCGGCGCCGGGCCGGGCGGGGGGCGCGGGGCCGGGGTGGGGGAGGGGCTCCCCGGGCGTCTTTAGGGCCCGTGGCCCGGGTGTGCGCGCCGACAGACAATGGGGCGCCCCGCGCGGGAGCTCCTCGCCGCGGCCCAGGGTGGGGGGCTCAGTCCCCGCCGTTACGCACCGGCTCCCGGGCGCTGGCCGGCCCGCACCCACCCCCGCGGACAGCTGCGTGGTCCCGAGCGGTTAAGTTTCCGCCTCGTGGGGGCGGGGTGGGGGATGGAGTCCTAGCGACTGGCCGAGGCAGGCGCGTCTTGGAGCCATTTTGGGGGAATCCCGCGACAGCGTCTGGGGAGTGTCCCCCGCGGCCTCGCTCCGGTGCTAAACTTTGAGCCCGGGTGGACTCCACTGGGCGCCGTCGCGGCAGGCCTGGCGCCGGCCCACTGGGGTGCTCACGCCATCCTCCCTTTCTCCTCGCGTCCGCGGCCACGCTGACCCCTGCTTCGGGAACACCTCTCCCGTGGTGTCCTTCCGGGCCGAGCTGAGGCGGCCTGTGTGGGCGGCAGGCCCGGCTGTGGCTGCTGGGCATCTGAACCTCCTTCCCTGGCCCCTGGCCGGGAGGATCTCCCTGTCCATCGCCCTCCCAGGGTCTCGGGGAGGCAGGTGCACGTGTTCCTCCAAGGGACACAGACCCAGGCTCAGAGGACATGTGCGCGCGGGGGGGGGGTGCACATTGTCTCCCAGAACCCCCCAGCTGGACATTCAGAAGCAGGGTCAGCCCATCCACCCTGGCCTCTGGTTGGGACTGTGGTGCTGCCTGAGGAGCTGGGGCCAGGGTGTCCTGCTCGCTGAGAACCCCAGACCCCAAACCTGAGGCCCGACAGCCCCACGCCCACCTGATGGTGACCCACAAAGCCCGGCTCTGACCCCCCCGCTAGGGCACTCGCTGTCACCCGTCACCGGCAGTCATTTCACCCGCACCCTCACCTGGGTGGGCCTGGGAGGGGGCAGGGGCAGGGGCAGAGACTTGAGGGAAAGGTGGCAGGGGACGGGCTCTGCTCTGGTTTCCCCCCCCCCCCCCGCCCTGCCAAGCTCTTGAGCATTTGCCACTGTGTGCCGGCCACTGGGCACAGAGACCTGGCCCCACCTGGCTGGGACATGGTGGGCAGGTGAGCCCCTGCCCCCCGGGTGGGCTGATTCTGGAGGTGGGTGGTGGTGGCAGGGCCAGGTCCCCGGCTCCTGGGCTGCACTGGGTCCTGTGGCTGTTTTGCAGCCGGCAGGGGTCTTGTGGGGCCCTGGCTCAGCAGAGCCCCCTGGAAATGGGGAGGGGGCCTGCCCTGGTCTCCGGCTCATGCAGAGCTGCTGGGGGGGTATCCCTGTCCACACCATTCCCTCCTGGCCCCTAGGGGCTGCCCCAGTGGGTTTCTGTCCTGACCAGGGGTCAGAGGTCCCAGGGCCTCCCCCCGGGGAGGGTTACCGGGCTGGGGGTCCCACAGAGCCAGTCTCGGGCAAGGCCCTGACCCGAGTGGGTTTCTAACTGGCCCCAGGCCACAGGGACACGTGGAAGCCGACACGAGACACCTCACCTGGGACCTGGTCCCGCCTGCCTGGGCTAGGGCCACTGGACTCAGCCAAGGGAAAAGGCATTCGTGGTCCCAGTCAGGGGCCCACCGCCTGGCCCCAAGAGTGTGGGGTTGGCACGTCTCAGGCTGAGCCTAGTAGGCCCTTGGCCTGGCCACTGTGACCCCTGGGGCTGGCGCTGGCTCCTGGGTGCCACCCCCACACCGTGACTGCCAGCAAGCCGCAGGCTGGTGGAGTGGGTGCAGTGGGGGTCTTCCTGCGTTGCTCTGGGGTCCCGGGCTGGGGGGCTGCCCGGAAGTGAGGACAGGCTGAGGCCTGGGGGTGAGTGGGAGTCTCCAGGGGTAGATGGATGCCTTCCATGCGTGGCCCTGGTCCTTCCCAGTGTTCCAAGTGGGCACCCCTGTGCGCAGAGGCTGAGACTGGCCCCACGCACGGTAGGGCTCCCCAGGTCCAGCTGGCACATAGTAGGTATGCAGCCATACCCGGGGTGGTTGATGGCCTAACCTCTGCCCCTGCCTCGTACCTTCCCTGCCTCTGCTGTCCCGGAACCCTCCTGTGTTTGCAGGTTGGCCGGCTCTGCGGCCTGTGTGCTCGGAGCACTGCATCCCTCATCCCTCAGTCATATCCCCCAGTGGGTCCTCTCCGCCCCCAGGCCCCTGCCTCTGTGGAGCCGGGATACCTGCTGCTCACCCAGGGAGGCAGGGCTGGGGGTGCCGGGACGCCCAGCGCCGTCCCAGACTCCCCGGCTCTGAACTGCTGCTGGGTGCCCAGAAAGCCGAGAGTGTCTCCACAGCTGAGTGACGGTCACATTAGGAGGACCAGCAGCCCTGGACACGAAGCCCCCAGAGGTCCCTCCAGACCCTTCCCAACCCCACCCCACCCTCCCCGCCCAGGGGTCCCTAGGACCCCGACTTCGTGGTTAGCGGTTCGCACCTGCTTCTGCGTGTTTGCTGTTGTCATCTGGGCTCTGCACTGTCTTGGCTGGCCTGAGACCTCTCGCCAGCAGAGTCTCCCAGCCCATGCTTTGGGAGGTGGGCTTTTCCCCCCCAACAACGGTCCGGTTATGGGGGCGCCCTTGGCGACTCGTGGGTACAGGGCGCTCCCAGGCATCTCGGCTACACTGGGCGTTCGTTGCTAGGGCTGGGCAGGTGCCAGCCTGGACCCCGGGGGCACAGAACAAGTGTGCCGGGCCCCCAGCACAGCTCTGGGACTGCTGGCCCGCAGGGCGGCCTGTGCTCAGCGTGGAGCTAAGGCCCAAGGCTCCGGGTGCTTCTCTTGTCGCTGTCCCCCGCCGCGCTGGCCCCGGTTCCCACCTGTCCGGGTGTCCCCCACCTGGCTGGCGGAGCTCCTGGGCACTGCTTGTCTGTTTTGCCTGGTGGTTGCTGACTTGTGGCTGCTGAAGGGCTCTTTGGGGGAACGGGAGTTCTTGGTTTGACTTTTGTGGAGTGTCTGGGCTTTGCTTTTCGCTGAGAGCTTTGTGTGCCTTGTGTCCAGAATCTTCCATGGCGCGGGGGCCTTTGGTGCCCTGCAGGTGGTCTCGGTGCGAGACACGGCCTTGGGCGTGGTTTCTGTGTTCTCCTGTGTGCATACGGGACTGCTGGAGCCCACCCTCTGGGATTCACTCCTGTTGCCCGGCCTGTGCCAGCTGCTGCGGCCCAGCTGGAGACGCTAAGGAGACACGCCAGGCCCGTGTCCTGGAGACAGCGACAGACGGCTCTTACGGTTGTCCCAGGGTCCCCATCCTCAGAGCCGTGTCAATGTGCGGCCTGAAGCCTGGCGCTGAGATGCACCTGCAAGACCTGCTCCCCCAACCCCAGTGCAGCGCCCAGCCCCACCCCCACCCTGCACCTGCCCTGCCCCCCTCCCTGGGGGGACCCTGCTCTCCCCGGGAGTCTCCCAGCCCTGGCCTTTAGCTCGTCGCTCCTGCTTTCATTGCTGTCTGTTAAGCACCACTGTGTACCAGAGGCCATGGTAGGCGCTGGGGAGATGGCAGTGACCAACACAGGCAGAAATCCCCTGGGTGGGAGAGACAGGACTCGTTTCTAAATAAGTAATGGCCACAAGCACAAGACAGGAGGGCAAGTGTGCGTGCCTGTGTGCATGTGTGTGCATGTACATGTGTGTGCTTGTGCATGTATGTGTGTGCACATGTGTTTGCGTGTACATGTATGCGTGCACATATAGGTGTGTACATGTGTGCTTGTGTGCACCTACCCACACGTACATGTGCATGTATGTACCAGCATTGCGTGTACATGTATATTTGTATGCACACGCCTGTGTGTGCACTTGTACATATGTGTGCCTGTACCTGTGTGTGTGCATGTGTATATGTATGTGTGTGTGCCTGTGTGTGCGTGAATTCTGTGTGTGTATTGTGTATGTGTGTGTGCGTGTACCTGTGTGTGTATGCATGCATGTGTGTGCTTGTGTGCCTCTGTGTGTGTGCGTGTGTGCGCTTGTGTGCCTCTGTGTGTGTGCATGTGTGCCTCTGTGTGTATGCGTGTAGCTCTGTGTGTGTATGCATGCATGTGTGTGCGTGTGTGCCTCTGTGTGTGTGCGTGTGTACCTCTGTGTGTGTGCGTGTGTGCCTCTGCGTGTATACATGTAGCTCTGTGTGTGTATGTGTGCATGTGCGTGCGTGTGTGCCTCTGTGTGTGCCTCTGTGTGTGTGTGTACCTCTGTGTGTGTGCGTGTAGCTGTGTGTGCGTGTAGCTGTGTGTGTGCATGTGTGCCTCTGTGTCTGTGTGTGCATGTGTGCCTCTGTGTGTGTGTGTACCTCTGTGTGTGTGTGTACCTCTGTGTGTGCATGTGTACCTCTGTGTGTGTGTGCCTCTGTGTGTGTGCATGTGTACCTCTGTGTGTGTGTGCCTCTGTGTGTGTGCATGTAGCTCTGTGTGTGTGCGTGTGTGCCTCTGTGTGTGCGTGTGTGCCTCTGTGTGTGTGTGTGTAGCTGGGTGTGTCGGCTGTGATTCGGCTCCTCAAGGCCTGGAAAGCTCTTGAGAAGGTGCCCAGGGAAGGACCCGAGCAGGTGTGCAGGTGTCTGGAGGCGGGCGGGCATCAGGGCAGGGTCTGCTGACCGCCCTGGCGGAGCCCTGTGTCCCTGCCCGTCGCGTAGGTGAAGGAGGACGTGGCAGGCTGGGCCCGAATAGGGAGCAGAAGAGGATTTCTGGGCTGGGGCCAGGGGCCGGCTCTGCCGTCCCCCATGGCTGACTGCTTTCCCTGGCTGTGCATACCCCTGGCTCCCAGGAGGCCGTGCCTCATGGGTGCCTCTCAGCCTCCTGGCTCAGGCCTGCTTGGGCTGCCGGCTGCCACGCCCACCGTCCCCTCCCTCCCTCCCTTCATCTCCCCAACAGCAGAGGCCCCCAGCTGGGCGGGGCTGTGCTGCTGAAACTGGACACCCAGCAGGACC